AGGAATTGCGGACGTGGGTTATAGTGATCGGTAGGGGGTTTATTTTCGACGTGCAGGGCGGGTGGTGCTTGGTTTTTCTTTTAGTTCCATTGCGAGTGACGTGACGCGCGTCGCCAGGGACGCAGAAGGGTCATTTCGCACGTCGGGGAAGAGCGAAATGACATGCCACGTATAGCCTGGCCGGTCGCGCGTGCCACCCTTGGCGAGGCAGTTTCCCGCAAAGTGGGACGCTGTGTCGCGGGCGGTCCACCGCGATCAGATCAATTCAAATTTGCGCACCCGAAGCCGCTCGACCATCTCTACATTTGCGCGCACCTGTGCTGAAGCCCGCCGCTCGCGCTGTTCACGCCAGGCCGTGGGAGTCGCCGTCCTTCTGCCGTGCACACAGACGCCGCCCGTCAGTCTTCTCGCCACGGAGCACCGTCGTCGACGATCTTCTCTCTCCTGTCATCTCCAACCTATTCCCCGTCGAGCGCTCTCGCCACCGTCGTCGTCCTTCTGTCTGCCACGCGTCGGGTCGACCTCTTCTTCCTTCGGTTGGCAGATCTTCTGCGTCGTGCGGCTTTCCTTCTTCGTCACGGCAGTCCGCCGTGGGAGTCATTGTCGTCGTCAGATCTGCCAACTGGCAGGCTTTTAACGGCGGGCGAGTGGACACGTTGCGGTCTTCACATCGGGTCGCGAGGGAACATGTCTGCGTGAGGGGCGGGTCGTGGGAAGAAGCGCGAAGGACTGCCTGACGACAGCCAAGTGACTGGAAAAGGTCGGAGGCATGTCCCGAAGGCGAAGAGGCTGCGGTCGGACGATGAGTCGACAAGGGTACCTCTTGGATGAGCGCAAGGTTGGGTGGCAGAAGCGGGGGGTGACAACGACGACGACTTCGTGACTGACGAAGATCAGGGACAGGCGACTGCGTCTGGAGTTCGGGAGAGTGGAGGGCTACGACAATCTGATCACAGCGCGTCGAAAAGGCTGATGACCCCTCCACCCGAGACGAAGCAAGTGCGCGCCTGCGACAGGCGGACTGACGACGCTCACGTCGACGATGTTGGTGACGACGATGACGAGCCCTTGGAAAGACGCCTCCTGCGCAGTCACACAGCAGCCACCCCGCCGCCGGCGGCTTCGGGCCACGCTCTCGCTGGAGAAAAGGCAGTGACGGGTAGGCTGCCCGCCACCACGGCTGCGCCATGTCCTCGCAACATGGCTGCTGAAGGAGGGTCCGTCCAATGAGGCGGCGGTGGGGTGGTTGTGGCGCACACGGGCGCAGTTGGGGTTGAGGTGGCAGGTGCGGCGGGTGCGGTTGCGGGTGTTTCAGGCAGTGCGCCCCCAGTTCCAGCGGCGAGAGAGGAGGGAGCAGTTGTGGCGATGGCGAGGGACGACGCGCGTGGAGGGAAGAGGAATGATCGGGAGGGCGGCGAAGCTGGTTCGATCAGGCTTAGCAGGGGAGTGTTGACAAATGACCTCATAGACCGTGTCGTCCTTTGGGTCGACGACAAACCTTTCTGGACGACGGGGGAGGGGCGAAGACTCTACAACATCGTACACGAGACAAGATAGTACTTCGTCGCCATCGCCAACGGACTTCCACCGCCTGCGATCCCTCGGAGCGTTGTGATGCCCAAATCCAGCATGCGGATAGCCAGGATCGCCGACCCGTCGCAGCTGCAACAAGCGACCTCCCATGCATCGACAGTGGAGAACATCGCTCTCCGCGTATTGCACGACTGGGTTTTCAAGTCTGGGAACCGCCCAAGGGGTTACAATCTTGCATTCCAGTACGCCCTGGAGTCCGTGGCGACGGACATAGCGCGAGCTATGTGTTACGGCGAGGAGTGGTGCAACGTCGTCAGCCCAGCGGTTTGCGCACACACAATAGATCTCTCCATGGACTTGCCACTTCGAAACTTTCCACTTCGCGACGCTGGTGTCGAAGCCCACACTCGTGGCGTCCATGCATCGGTCGTTCGACCATCGTCGATCCATTCGCCTCGCCGTGAAAGCCGTCATGGAAAGGCTCGGGAAGGCAAACGCCACATTTGGAGAGCACCCCGACTACCTTCCTCATTGGGCAGACCGCGACATTGTGTTCGGACACGACGCAAGGATTGACGGGCCGGAGGAAGCTAAGAAGCTCGATCGGTTGCCTCTTTGCATGCGACCGACTTTATAGCGCTTTTGTCCATGCATCCGCGCAGCCACTTCGAAGCTTTCCACTTCGCGACGCTGGTGTTGAAGCCCACACTCGTGGCGTCCATGCATCGGTCGTTCAACCATCGTTGATCCATTCGCCTCGCCGTGAAAGCCGTCACGGAAAGGCTCGGGAAGGCAAACGCCACGTTTGTAGAGCACCCCGACTACCTTCCTCATTGGGCAGACCGCGGCATTGTGTTCGGACACGACGCAAGGATTGACGGGCTGGAGGAAGCTAAGAAGCTCGATTGGTTGGGCTCGGGTCCCGCCGATGATGACAACGACGACGACGACAAGGGTGACTCGTAGAGGGGGGCGAGGTGGGCGGTACGCGTGGGCGGGTGAGTGGGTAGGTATTCGGGGGGGGGGCTTGCTGTTGTGTGAACGCGGGCAAGTGGACACGTGGCAGGTCATGCAGTTGCCTCTTTGCATGCGACCGACTTTATAACGCTTTCGTCCCCGCGGAGGGAGGGGGGGGGGGGGGGTCTTAGCGCGTCGGCAGTGCGGCGAAACCCGGTTGATTGGTTGATTTCGTTTGTGCATCGTTTAGTGCAGATGTGTAGTGTGCAGGTCGTCGTCGTCGACGACGGGTACGTTAAAGACACTCGTGTGTTTTGTGTTTATCATCCCAGTTGGGTCGACAAGCAAATCGCAAGCGCTTTCAGCGCACCTTTTCTTTTCTCTTCTTTGTTTGTCTGCTCAATGTGTTTTGTGTTTATCATCGCAGTTCGATCGACATGCAATTCGAAAGCGCTTTCAGCGCACCTTTTCTTTAGTCTTCTTTGTTTGTCTACCCTCCACCTTCGCACCGTTGTTATCCTCTCAGCGATGGATGATCAAAAGATGTTTGCCTTGCATGCATGCACACAACCGAAGACGACGTCCCTGAAATGCGCTTTGTATTCGTTGTATGAGGTCGACCAACTATCATCAATGTTTTCGACAGCATTTTGTGAAGCTCACAAAAAAGATCGTGACAGACGAACCGACGAAAAAGATCGTTGTATGAGGTCGACCAACAACACACGAAACAGACCTTGATAGACGAACTGACGACGTAATAATTGAGACAAACAAAAAATTTTGTAAAAACATTGTAAGAAAAAAAAAGAAAAACAAAGACTCGTCCTAAAACGAAGAAAATTTCATGGTACACATAAAACTGAGGAGCCAAACAAAAGAACAACATACGAATGGCAGCTGGAAGCTCAACCCAATCAAAAAGAAAAGAAAAGAAAAAAAACAAACATTTGAAGCGACTGACAGCATGGAAAAAAAAAAGGTCGTTCCAATATTAAATGTTCGCACGTACGTGCAAACCACTCAACCCTCCACACGACGAATACAGCAAACGAAATCATCACCGACGACCATGCATCCGTCCGCTCTACAGAGCTACTTCGCTGACGACGACCGCGGGCCACGGGCCACGTCAAAATATGAATCCTCCTACTGATCGCACCGACCCACGTCCACAATCCCGACACCCCCGACACACACACACACACACCAAAGCCCCACCACGCGTCTAAGTGCTCCCACATCAAAGCCAGCCGGTCTCGAAGAGCGTCACGCAACAAGTCCCCGTCGACGTTCGTGCAACGTTGCCGCCCGCCCGCGCCGTTCCCCACAATGCCCAAGGCCACTCTCCGGCGCACACCATTCTCATCCACCTCCTACAACAGTTTTCATCGAAGTCGATCCCGGCGTCTAGGAGGATATTGTGCAGAGTGCACACTGCCACAAATTGCTGCGGCAAGGTATCCAGGTTCGTCTTATGGGTGCGCAAGAAAAAACGCCACATGCACTTCAGCCGCCCGAAAGCTCTCTCCACACACCCCCGCGCCACCTTCTGCCGCGTGTCAAACCGCTCCTCCTTAGGACCTTGGTCGATTCCTTCGTACGGCTGCACGATCCGGGGGCAGACAACAGGATAATCGTTGTCGCCTAGCAGGTAACCTCGTGTGACGACTCCGTGCGGCAGACTCACCGGAGGTGCGTCGAACAGCTCGCCAGCTTGTGCACGCCTCCATAACTGGGAATTGTGCAGGACACGGACGTCGTGCACGCTTCCCGGGTATCCGATGTGGACATCCATGATCCGCAGATCCAAATCCACTACCACCTGCGTCTGCACGGAAAACTTCTGTTTGCGGTCGTAGTAGTTGGCAGATGGTGCGCCGGCGGGCTTGTCAATGAAGATGTGTGTGCAGTCGATTGCGCCGAAGCAGTTGGGGAAACCCTTGTCACGGAAAGCGCGCAGAATCTTCGCGCGTCTACGGCCCACTGGCCACTTTATCGCGTCTGGGTACGCCTGCAGCAGTGCCGAAGTGACGTCGCGGACGGCCTGCAGTCCATTTGCTCTCCCGATGCCAAAGGCAGAAGTGCCGCTCTCGTACGTCTCTCCTGACGCCCACCTGTACAGCACGAACGCGATGACGTGCTCCACCGGCAATGGCATCCTATAGTGCGTCACCTTCTTCTCCACGTACGCGGCGCACGTGGCCACGATCTGCCTGAACATGGCCATCGACATGCGCAACTTCTAGCGGTAGTACTCGTCCGTCGCGTCGTCACACAGGCGGAGGTCCTCCCATGTTCCGCCAGTCCGTCGTTTAATCCACCAGCGCGGGGTCTCCCGCGGGAAAACGCCAGAAGACAGTGCGGCGCACAACTGGATGACTGCCTGACATGTGGCCATGCAATCTGGCGCTTCGCCAATGCGCTGCAACAGCGCTCGTCGTTTGCGGAGCTCCGCCAGCGCGTCGCGTGACGAGGACGGGTCACCGAGCATCGTGTTCACGATGACGGCAGTCACGACCATCGCCACAGCCTCGATTTCGTCATCCCGAAGACCCTGCCCGCGCCCGCGAACGTCCATATCCAAGAACCCCGTGCTCTCCATAGCTAGACGCCTGCCACAACTGCCAAACAAACGCCCGGTGCTGAAAACCTCCACTTTGACAACGCACGCCGGTGTCGAAGATGCGGCACAGGAGATGACGCACGGCACAGCCGGCACAGCCGAAGACGCGCCCGTTGCTCCACGCTTCCACAGGGCAGCGCGCACAACGTAGGTGAAGAAGCCCCCACCACGAAGATGTGGCCGCTGGTCACAAGTTGCGCGAATCGAAAGACGGATACCCACAGCGTGCACTTCGCCACCGCCGTGTTTTTGACGTCAAACGCGTCGCCTGGCCTTCCTCCGCCGCGCTACCCTACGTCCGCGAAAATTCAAATTGGAATTTTTGAAGTTCGGGGGGACCGCGCTTTTCACCCACCCTTTTTTCCTCCGCCCAAGGGCCTCTGCACTGTGTACCACGGACAACATCCAGGAGGGGATGGACATCGGCAGCGCGGCTGCGTATACGCATATGAAAACCGGCCGCGGGAGACCTTTTAGGACGATTCCTAAAATATGATTTTTAGGACTGCGTGTAACGACGACGCACGGAATCCTAAAAAACCTTCAGGACTCGTCCTAAAAGTTTTAGGATTCTTTTAGGAGTGTCTAACGAGCCCCTAAGGCTTACGTTGGTTCTCGATTTTCTTAGAAACTGGGGAAATGGGCCCGACAAGCCCTAAGCTTGCGAAACGAAGTGCAAAACAGCGTGCAAAACACACCACACACCAGCAATTCTAAAGCTGAATGTAGGGAAGGCACGTCCTTTCGTACATTCCATTGCTCATCGACCTCACCCTTACTCCAAAACAAGCCCACAAGCACACACACACACACACACACCATAAATTTTACGGAAAAGAAACCAGAGAAGGTCAAAGGAAGAAGAAAGGAAGAAAAGATCAGCTCCGACCTTGTTGCCTTGTCCCTGCGAATCTTCGCCAAATCCCGGAAGCATCCCCATCGTTGATGAAACTTGCTCTGCACCTTGGACTCTTGGAGGAGAATCCCTTGTTGAGCACTTCGAGAGACCATTCTGTCGAAATAGTATGTTTGATCCCTTGTCTAAGGGCATACTCACACAAAGACCCCAAATCCACAAAATATGCGGATTTGGGAAGGGCCAATTTGAGGTTTTGGGCATGGTTCACGTCACACTGCTGTACCTTTTCAGATGGGACAAGGTCGAGGCCATCTAGAGAAATGGGGATTTGGTACTTGGCTAGTCACACGGCGCCATCCACAAATTGCGCAAGAACATTTGTGAACGAATTTTTGCTAATTTTTGAAGAAAATGCAAAAAAAAAAAAGGGCATTTGTGGTCACCTCCAGAGGTGACAGCAAAATATCTTGCCCAGCAGCTTCCCAGGCCGCTGACAAATGAGCACAGGAATAGTAGATTTGCGAATTTGGTAGATCCATGTGACCTGCCTTTTCCCCTTTTTTTTGGGATTTTGGGATTTTAGGTCCCCGTGTGACCTACATGACCCCCATGGCCGCGGATTCTGCAACCTAGGAGGCGGCCGAGGAGGCCGAGCGGCTGAGTTTCCGCGCGGTCGCCCCAGGCCCAGGTGGGGGCGTGCACGGGAAAACGGCGTGCGCACGCGGCCGTCGCACGTTGGCCTCTACGGCCCTGTCAAAAAAAAATAAAAAATTGGGGGGGTGTTTTTTGGTGTATGAGAAAAAAATTTAAATAAATAGAAAATAAATAAATATTGATTGATTGATAGTTTTTTTGATTGATTGATTGATTGATTGATTGATTGATTGATTGATTGATTGATTGGTTGGGGAGGGGTCCTCCCTCCCCTCCCCCCGGCACACGCGCACACACACACACACACAAAGGGCGTCGTTCGACACTCCTCGGGGCATCCTCGGGCTCCGAGGATGAATCCTCGGAAAAGTTTAGGGTTTTTGTTGTCTTCGTTCCACTCATCGGGGCATCCTCGGGCTCCGAGGATGAATCCTCGGAAAAGTTTAGGGTTTTTGTTGTCTTCGTTCCACTCATCCTCGGAGCATCTGTTTTAGGACTCATCCTCGGAGCAATGTCAGAAAAATAAAAGGAAAAAAAAAAGAAAAAAAGTTGTGCTTCAGGCTTGCAGCCAATAAGGTGCCGCCACGATCAGAATTCTCGGTTGTAACGTCTCTCTACGTGCATGCCCTCTCCGCTCCGTGAAACACGGATCCTCGGGCTCCAAGCCGAGGACGATTTGGCTGGGAAATCCTCGGAGCCCAAGGATTTGTCCTCGGAGTGTTTTCATATTTCCGTTCCGAAAATCAGCTCCGAGGACAGGTGGAACGACGACGGATTCCTCAGAATCGCGTCCCCGAGGAGTGTCGAACGACGCCCAAACACACACACACACACACACACACACACACACACACACACACACACACACACACACACACATACATACATGGATGGATACACACACACACGCACACGCACAGACACACACACACATACATACATACATGGATGGATACACACACACACACACACACATATATACATAGATAGGTATAAGCATACATGTGGATGCATAGATATATATATGGGATAGCATATATTTGTTTATCTTCATGGGCTCTCTTACTATGCTTGGCGAAGGGTAGGGGGGTATGCATGTAGACCCCCAGGACCATAGGGGTACAAGAAGTGAACATCCGGGTTCTTTTTTTATCCCCAAGACGCCAGACGAAAAACCATACCAATATCTGAGCGGACCGACCTTGGGTCTACCGACCACCAAGACGGGATAAGCCACATATACATATGCCCCAAACATGAAAGAGACGCTCAGAACGGACCCAATTCATATAGGGCTACTGGGCAGAAGGCTGTCCTTGAAAAAGTGTCACTAGCCTCTGCCGGTCCCAAGCAGCCCACAGAAAGGACTTGCAATGTATGGCCCGTTTTTTTCGTTTTTTCGTTTTCTTCGAACAGATAGGTTGATTATGCACCGGGCTAGCATTATGGTACAGGTACCGATGGTTAATGTGGACCAATTGACAAACGGCTGTTCATCCGAACTCCGTTCCCATAGTTATCGAAGGAAACATCTACACGGCCCTTTCAACCTGGCCCGCCTCGAGAAATGCGGTTATCCTCCGCTATATTTACTTTCTGCGTGCTTATTCCCCCATCTCATTCGTGGTTGAATGACTGTGCTGCTTTGTACGGAGGCTCTTTGACGAATGCTGTGAATGCTTGGCCATGGCAACTTTGGACTTGGATGGTATCATGTATGCTGACCTCGCGGAGAACCAGAGCAACGAGGAAGCGGTACACTTCCCATCCTTCTCCCTACTAAGCCTTTACCTATGAATGGAAGTGTGTGGAAGCTTGGACTGTTGTCGCATGTGTTTTGCTATGAACGCAGGTTTTTGAGTATCCCTCTGATGATCCATATGGTGGCAACGGTGAAAAACGTTTTAGGGGCGGCCACACCCTACCTGCATGCAATTTGCGACTTGCTTCGTTACTTCCTTGCTGCTCATTCAAGCGTCATCATTGAGCCTCTTCGTCATGTTGTATTGGCTGCTTGTTACTCATCATCCGTTTCATCTGGAAGTCAGATCCGAGCTATCCCGTACTCTTCGCTACCTGTATTTTCCGTCAATTAGAGTAGTATCTTCTTCTCCCCGAACCCTCCCCCTGCTCCCTTTAGTCTGATCAATGGATCGATCTGTATATTAGTGAAACTGTTACAATATTCTTCCACTTCTTCCACCAATCGCCCCTTCCCATCATCGTTACCCTAGACACCTGCGGACAGATTTGGCCTAGAGCAGTGATAGCCCCACTGGTTACAACTCGTATGGAGTAGTTTTTATATCGTGTGTATGGGCGGAGGTCTACTGATACTCAGCAAATGGACTAGTTCTTTCTTGGTAGTAATAGCCTGTTCGTCGGGGTGATAGCCTGGTAGTGATAGCCTGACTACAATGCGAATGGAGTGGTTTCTAATGGACTAGTTTTTTCTGTATGTATCTAGATAGAGCAGACTTGGTCTATAATAGTGATAGCCCTACTGGTTATTTCAGCTGTGGTGTGTTAACTTACGGGAATAATGAGGATACATTCGATCAACTATGCTAGCATCTTTACCTGATTATCTTGTCACATGAAGGCGTTCCATACTTTTTTAGATGTGAACTTTTTGCGCTCCATGATATGACACTATGAATTGATTCCCTGTGGCTTTTACATCTCGAAGAGGAATTGGGACTTTCACGTCACTATGCAGTGTTTGAACTTGTGCTGTTGCGAACGCATCGTCTCTTTTTCGAACCCATCATCTTTTCTGCCTCGTCTCCTTCACTTAGAATTGATGAATCTCTGTTAGTTTCCTTTAAACGACTTATCTTCTCGCCTTACATGCTTCCTTAGCATCTGCCTCTTCTATTTCTTTGTTTTATATATACGTAGGCTAAGGATATTTCGATAACATCGTTTTGGTATTTCTATTACATATTGGACCAGCTTTTCGTTAAAAAAGTTGAGTTGATGGTCCCGGATTGAACGTAGCTGTTAAAAATATGAATGATGGATCTTCATTGTACCGGGTCGTTGGGTATGAGCAGCTTGGATATTATCTACATTAGGGAACAACAGGCTGACATGTGAGTCGCACATAGCCCACATTGTTGTGATCGACTTCCCGTAATTCATTATCACCTGGCCAGGATGGGTTTTGCGGATAGGAGGCGCCACAAAACGATGCATTCGATCAACTGTACTAGTATCTTTTTCTGATTATTTCGACACACGAAGGCGTTCCATGCTTTTTTAGATATGAATTCTTTTCGGAAGTTACTTGACCTCCGTGATATGGCACTATGAATTGATTTCCTGTGGTTTTTACATTTCGAAGAGGTATTGGGGCTTGCACGTCACTATGTAGTTTTGAAACTTATACTGATACGTACCCATCATCTCGTTTCTTTCTCAGACCCATCGTCCTTTCTGCTTCGTTTCCTTCGCCTTGAATTGATGAATCTCCGTTAGTTTTCTTTAAACAACTTATCTTCTCGCCTTGCATACTTTCCTGGTTTCTACCTCTTCTCTTGCTTTGTTCTGTATATACAGGGTACTTCGATAACGTTGTTTCGGTATTTCTATTACATGTTGGATCTGTTTTTTTCTATAAAGTTGGATAGATGGTCCCAGACGGTACGTAGTTGTTAGGGATCTGAAT